TCTGTACCTGCGTGTACAAGCTCTTTTCACAGAAATCTATACATTTGCTTACTTGTATTAAAGTTTATTCACTTTATCAGATTCAGAATAACCAAAACACAAATGAAGACCTCTTTTAAGACAACAATCAATGCCATATTAAATGTGCTAGCCACCATAATTATTGAGCAGCCCAGCAGGAATTCTGTTGCCACGAACAACAAGCGATAACGAGAGAGAGTTTGTTCCTGGTTGACAATGGTTTTGGCACATCCTGTGCATAACAATGATTAAGCTCTATTTTGCTAATCCACCATAACAGCGTGAACTTGAATAATAATGGCTTGATTTAATTGCAGGTAAATTACACACAGTATTTCCTGTCCATTACAAGTAAAGCTGGTTTGGTAGTTAGCTGATAATGGTTTTGCATTTATTAATGTACACAAATGATGTATGCCACTAAAGATAATTACAGGGATAAATAAGGCACACAAAATCAATTACAAGTTGAAGAGTGTGCTGCATCATAATAAAGTATAATTATAATAATCACAATTAAAATAATGAATATAAATGCCAATGTAATTATTAATAAATACTAAACAAATAAAGTGTCTTTATTAATAATTAACTGAAATAAAAACATAAAGACTTTATTTAAAAAAAAATCAAATTTCAATAAGGACCAAATGGCATAGATAAAATATCCTAATGTGTATCTGTAATACTCTATGTTTAATAGATTATACATCTAAATTATAGTTACATGTTGATGAATATTTAAATTATATCTCATTTAATTTACATATTCATTAATGAAATTAATTAAAAATGTGTCTTTACATCATGATCTTAAAGCAGAGGAAATTATTTGCTGAATGGCAGGAAAAATGGGCACCACTCATATTAGGATTATGGTAACACTTTACAATAAGGTCTCGTTATTTAACATTAGTTAATGAAGTAACTATCATGAACAATACATTTTTTACATTATTTATTAGCCTATTAACCTGTTAATATTAGTACATAAAAATATTTATGTTCATTTTAGTGCACAGTGCATTAACTAATGTTAACATATACCGTTTGGTCTTAAAAATGTATTAGTAAATGCTGAGATTAACATCAAATCCAAAATTCTGGCATAAAACTCTTGATGGCGCAGTCCAATAGGTCTCACTCAATCTGACATAATGACATCATAATCACATAGCACAGTTAATTAGTTCTCTCCTGTATCGGTAGCCAATGAGCTCGCTCTTCAACATTCAAATACTTGGCTAGTGCAGGCAGTAGCAGCGCAATTCAGAAACCCTCCACCTCCCCAGCTCCACCTGTATAGTTATTCATATATGTTATATGTGCAGCAGCAATATTTCTTACATGCTCACAGCAGCATGTGGATGTATTGGCAGTAGCAAGTCTCGGTACTTGCTCTTCTGCAGCAGCGTAGCAGATCTATTCCGCCAAGACCAAATACATTAACATTGTCATGTACATTACCATGCCAATCCCTCCGAGAGTTGTCATGACATAACTAAGATTAATAAATGCTGTAGAAGAACTGGTTCATAGTTAGTTGATGTTAACCTTATTGTAAAGTGTTACCAGGATTATTCCTTACTGTTTGCGATTGTTTGAGCAAATTCCAGTGCAACCTGTTGGCAGAGACTCCTGCTTGGTCTTTAATCGATTGTTTATGTGGCTGGCTACAATTTTTTTGTCACTCTTAAAATATAATATTTATTTTCCCAAAAAATTCTAAACACTGCTGTGGAAAGGTTACAATGGTTGCTATGTCCCTGTACGTCAGAGGCGACCCATGCAGCACGATGACGCTCTATAAGTGCATTTAGCGATTGAGTTTCACAGCCAAAAACCCTCCCAATGGAATCACTGTTGTGGCTTCTGCATAGGTGTTTATTCATTTTCTAGAGTTTCCACACTATGTAATACAGCAGAGGCCAAACAAAGGAAAGCACAAACAGCAGGATCGGAGCATGATGGGAAAATGGGTGCCTTGAGGAGGGAGCTATTGAGTCCTGAACATTAAAAGATCTCCACTACAACTATTATATGACAAATATAGGCAACAATATATACTACTTTTAAAATATATTTTAGAATTGTCCTCTTTTGGTTGTGTAAAACAGTTTTTATTTACTAAGGTGGATGGTGTAAAGGCCAGCTGCAGAAAATAAAAATGCTATTTGCTTTGTTGGCTGAGCCAGTCCTATCACAGATGTGCAAATAACCTGCCTGGCAATGTTATTGTATGTGCGGCATTTCAAGAAAATTAAATTGTCATGGTCAATAAATGAGATATTGGGAGAAGGAGAGACACAGTGTCACAGAGCTCAAGGTAATAGATTAATGTAAGCATATTTAAATGTTTCTCGCACTTTGCATTCTGAAAACTCATAAAGCCCATGCAATAAACAAAAATGAAAAGATAGGAAGATTACAATAAGTTAGATATTTCATGTTAATTAACTTCCATTTGTGCTATTGCAAACCCCAAATTCCTCTGAGAAATGAAACATTTTTGTTAGGCTGAATATGCAAATAAATCATGTGAATATGCATGAGTGTGTTCGTCGCAGCGGTCACGACCTTTCAGGTTCCATTCAGACACCAGTCTAAAAAGAATGCCAATGTTCTTAACGTTTAGACTAGTGATTGACCGATATTGATATTTTATAAACAATACCGATACCAATTATTTGCATGTTTATGTGCCCGATAACCGATATGCAGAACCGATATTTATTTACTGTTATAAAGTAAATAAATGACTGAGTGAAGTCCATACTTCACTTTTGTTTTTCCTCCTTTCAGTCATCTTAAAAAAAGTGTTGAAAATAAGGCACACATGATCCAAGTTGACCGTTATGCTTTCTCCAGTAGGAAGTAATACAGACCCTCTCATCTCCCGATAGTAATACAATCTCTGCCACAATGTTGAGGGTTGGTGTGTTTAATCCAGTTTGGAGTAGTGATCGAACGATACTGATATTTTATAACCGATACCGATACCAATTATTTGCATGTTTGTGTGTCCGATAACCGATATGCAGAACCGATATTTATTTACTGTTATAAAGTAAATAAATGATTGAGTGAAGTAAGTCCATACTTCACTTTGGTTTTTCCTCCTTTCAGTCATCTTTTAAAAAGTGTTGAAAACTAACAGTCTTTCATGTTAAATTTAATCTTCACATTACAACAATAAAAAAACATTTTATTTAAAGCATCAGCAGCAACACTAATATTAACAATAAGCAAAATAAATGTAGAAGGTCTAATGTTTTCAAATGGAGAAAATAAATAAAGGAAAGGAGTCATATCAACTTCAATTTAAACTACAGTTTTAGTAGGTTTATACGATGTTTAATAGGCTAAAGAGTGAAGAATAATTCACGTGCGCTCATTCATGGCTGTATTATTTAATTAATGCAAAGTTACGTCTTTATTGGGAGAGGACTTGACAGATTATTTTAGCCTACGTGACTCCGACTTCATGAGACGATGCGCATATAAACAACAGAGAGCTAATTAAATTCAGCACTTTTATTTCCAACATGCACCCATTCGTGGCTGCATATTATTTAATTCACGCAAAGTTACGTCTTTATTGGGACAGGACTTGACGGATTATTTTACGTGACTCCGTGAGTTCGTCTTTATTTCTTCGAGCCAAGCTGCATAAACTGCATATCAGGCATTTATGTAATACATCTAATTTGTGCATTAATGGCTGTTATGTTAAATAAAGTTTACTAACTACAGTAAATCAAGTACTGAACAACAACAACGTGCACGCCGTTGTTGTTGTCTTGTTTCCCCTCAGATGCGCTGCAATGGTGATCCTGTGCGCAATTCTCAAAACATCCACAAGATGGCTGCGTTTATCGTGAATCCGATATTACAAAACCGATATCCGATTATTGTAAAATGCTTAAATATCGGGAAAAATATCGGTAAATCGATATATATCGGTCGATCTCTAGTTTAGACCTTGAAAACTTTTTAACACTCTTGAATATTATTGTCTGCTGTGAACTGTAATAAACATCTCCCTTAAGGCCCTTAACACACTGTTAGGTGACATATCGATCAATGGCTGCTGTTTCTTCAGGTTGTTGAAGAACTACTCATTATCCAACAATTCTCTCTCATTCTCAGGGACCTGGGCTGTAATAATTGGAAGCGAATACACACACTGATTTTCAAGGATGAATCTGATGTATTGGGAACCAAAGACAGAATCGAGCTCCAGAGGAATTTAACATCCATTTGAAGTGATCTGTCGTCGTCGTCCACATTTACATATGATTTCTATTGAAGCGCACATAAATATGGAACAAGCTGCGGCTTTATTTAATTTTTTATTACAGTAGATAAAGGGCGATGAATTTTTATGATGAACTATTATATCAAGTGCCAACTACTGTGCAAAAAAACTAATATATATTCTTTTCCTCTGCCGCTTCCTATGTCTCATTTTAAGTCTGAATCTTTTCTTCCTCGGTCTTTCCCCTGAAGCTTTTCTGTGCCTCAGGGGAGATGAAGCTTAAGCATTGGACTCACATCTCAGAGGGATAGCTAGTGGCCCTGCTTTCAACTCAAACCTACAGCCATATGTCACCTATGGGACTAAACTATAACTGTTGAATGAGCGACAGTGAGACTGACAGAAATAGAGAAGAGGATACATTAAAGAAATAAAAGTTCACCCCCAAATGAAAATTCTCAAATTATTTATGCTGTTTTATGGATAATAGTGGCATGCAGATTCTTGAAAAATTGTGTTTGTGTTCCACAGAAAAAATAAATAAAAAATAGCATATGAAGAAGGGTGTCACTCATGAGGGTGAGTAAGTGATTTATATATATATAATAAATGAACTATCCCTTTAAAAAGGGGGGGGGGGGTGAACTATCCCTTTAAAAATCATCAAAACAAATTTCATAATGACTAAAATAGCACAGCTTATGGACATGCATTCACTCACCATATTTATTGATGACACTGGTCCAATACTATTTACGAAGATATCAACATCAATGACTGTCGGTTTAACTGCAGAGAGAGAGAGAGAGAGAGAGAGAGAGAGAGAGAGAAAGATGGCATTATACGTATTACCATAAAACAAAAATATTTTAATGAAAAGAACTTTATCTTTGAAAGTGTTTCACAATACAGGCACTGAATTGTCATCTGCTTATGCATTCTGTGTAAAAGCAATTTTATGTTTGTGTACAGTGTTTAATGAATGAAGTGTCTGTACACCAAGAGGTCATCAAAATTGTGATGCCATTATATTGCATAATCTTCTCACCCTGAATCCAATTTAAATCTCTCTTAAAGGATTTCCTCTTTGAGCAGTTTCTACAATAATCTCAATAATCTACAGTTTAAAACATTGGCTTGACTGACATTAAACGTGGCTGAAAAGCACTCGTCACTTCTGAGAGATGAAGTGGAACGTTGGAGGGGGGGACAAAGGAAAGGAACTGTGAGAATTTCAATATGAGTGAAAGCCTGTTCTGACAACTCTCCATTAGGAAAGCATTTTCTGTAGCCGAAGAGATGAAGGAGGGGTTCATTCTTCACAAACCCAACAAAATGACAAAAAGACAGCGAGTCAAGTATGATCAACTTCCTATCATTTTGATAGCAACATATAGTGTCGCCAAGGTAATGTTTATGGCTCTGAACCATGTGAAACATCTGCATTGTTCTCAAGAAACACAAGATTTTAGGCAGCATCACAAGAAGAATTACAAAAAAATAGAAGGTCCCTTTAATTTTTATGTAAAAAGTATATTTTGTTACAATCTTTGAAGAATGTAACGACCTCATTTTCCCTCTTTCCCTCAGTCTTGATGCCTTAGCCAACCTCTGACCACTTCTGTCAGTCCAACAGTGCTCGAGTGGGCACAACCCCCTCAGGTGTGCTTACACTTAAATATGAGCATGACATTTTCAATCTCCCTTCTCATTTCCTAAATGCCTTCTTCACTGAGTGTGCATCAAAACAAAGATTCCCATCTGTGCAAGAATTAACAGTGTCAGTTGCTTTGCTATCTTGCATGTTATGTAGAGAGTACTACATCAGGGCCCTGACTTCAATTAAATAATAATAATAATAATAATAATAATAATAATAATAATAACAACAACAACAAAAACATAAAATTGTGTGTGGATTCCGTAGGCATATCTATGCAATAATGCAAATGGGTTGGACACACCTTTTAAAATGTTAGCTATGCTGCCCTAAATAAAATGCCCTAACTAAATATAATTTATTTATATATGATTTATATATAATTTATTTAATTATCATTTTTATTTATTTATTTATTTTGATATACACTACACTTTTTTTTTTTACAGTTTTATTGCATTTATTTGATCAGAAATACAGGAGAAAACATATTTTAATATTATTATATTAAACATTTATTAATAACATAAACATTATTATTATTATTATTATTACAATTTAAAACCGGTAACATACTTAAAAATGTAAGCACAAAAAAGAAATGTTTAGTAGAATGTCCAAGCTGTGTGCTTCCACACAATGAAAGTGGAAAGGGGACTGAGGCTGGGAAAAAAAATCCAAAATAAATGCTGTCCAAATGACTCATGACTTGAAACGTGAAATTCAACAGAACATTTTTATTTATTGGAAATTTTGCCTTGAAAATCTTGCTTGAAACATTCAGTTCAAGTCACCATTCATTCATGGAGTCCCTTTCATTACGGCTAAAAGCATCTTAGACATTCTAAAAAATCCTTGACTGGTTTCAAAAGACATTTGAGTTGGACTACTTGTTTAATCTGCTGTTTTTTTTATTTTGTTTTGACTGGACTTTGATTTTTGAGTTTAAACCAAAACCATGTTCCTGGCTAAGTACATCATATGTACTGCTAGAACATGAAGCATTTATTAGGCTCCAAGTCAGAAGCAATATTTTGTAGGGATGCATCGATCCGATACTGAGTATCGGTATCGGCTCCAATACTGGCATTTTCTGCCGGATCGGGTATCGGTCAGACGAGACCAATCCAAATTCGATATTGTGCGTATACTATTCTGTGTTATTGTTAAGCCACACGAAAGGCACAAAAACATTATAAAGCACCATCAAGTTCCCCTTCAGGAACTCGAGCTGCGTAGAAACGCTACGGGAATTCCTCCAGCGTGACCACGCTCTGAACCAAATGCGTAAGTCAAGTCAAGTCAAGTCTGCTTTATTGTCAATTCTTCCACATGTACAGCACATACACACAGAGAATTTAAATTGCGTTACTCTCAGACCCTTGGTGCATACAGATAACATAAATACAGATAGGTACAGATTAAATACAAAATACAACTATACAAATATAACGCGGGAAAGGTTGGCCCTAGCTGTCTTCAAGCCCACCTCATCTCCAGCTCTGAAGGCAGCGTTGGTATAGATACCAAGATGACGACGCGTTCACACGCTGCGGCTTCTCTCTCTCCCGACAGAAAGGTGTTTTTGTGTTTTTTGTCTTGTGAGTCGCAGTGTTTTTGTATGTATTCGTCACGTCTATTTGTTTCTAATCAGTCCAATGGATCGAGACGTCACGGGCGGGGTGACGTAGAGACCAGGAAGCATAAAAGCACGTGCGGTGAAACCTGTGTGTCAGTCTTATTTGGTGTTGTCTGTCCATTATCACTCTTTATTTTACCAATACGAGTGTAGACAAACATACGGCGAGAGTGGGCAGCATCTCAAGCTGTGTGTTCTTCCCTGCCCGTGCTACATTTCGGGTGGGGATACATACAGTTTGTGTGTTGTTTGCTTGGGAGCAAAACACGCAGAGTCAGCTCTCGGGGGTTCGCCGAGGCGGAGCGGCGGCTGTGCTCGTGGGGTTCGCATATTGATCCGGTGGAGGGAATGTAGACGGGCGAGTCCCTATCTTCTTCCTCACCCACCAGATCCAGTGCCCGCTCTCGGGGTTCGGAAGCCCGCGCTGCGGTGCTTTCCCCCCGGTGAGAGGGCTCAACGCTCCGCCTGTCTTCCTACGAGGAGGTTGATATGGAGGGCGTCGATGAGCTCGCCAGTTGCACAAGCATCAGTTACACAAGCATATTATGCCTAATATTATAATGAGCAGCTTTACTGTGGAGCAGAGCTCGCGCAGTCAACTCTCGGGAAAAAGAGAGGGTGCTGCTGCTGCTGAGGCACGGCGGCGATTCAGATCGCGGGGGATCGCATGTGGATCTAGCGGATGGGTTGGAGATGACTCGCCCTTTCTCCGCCTGCACTCCCTAGATCCAGCGCGCTCTCTCGAGGTTCGTAAGCCCGGAATCTCTCTCGCATATTGATCCGGTGGAGGGAATGTAGACGGGCGAGTCCCTATCTTCTTCCTCACCCACCAGATCCAGTGCCCGCTCTCGGGGTTCGGAAGCCCGCGCTGCGGTGCTTTCCCCCCGGTGAGAGGGCTCAACGCTCCGCCTGTCTTCCTACGAGGAGGTTGATATGGAGGGCGTCGATGAGCTCGCCAGTTGCACAAGCATCAGTTACACAAGCATATTATGCCTAATATTATAATGAGCAGCTTTACTGTGGAGCAGAGCTCGCGCAGTCAACTCTCGGGAAAAAGAGAGGGTGCTGCTGCTGCTGAGGCACGGCGGCGATTCAGATCGCGGGGGATCGCATGTGGATCTAGCGGATGGGTTGGAGATGACTCGCCCTTTCTCCGCCTGCACTCCCTAGATCCAGCGCGCTCTCTCGAGGTTCGTAAGCCCGGAATCTCTCACCGGTTGGGAGCGGTCATGAGCCATCTCACGTGGCGCATGAGTTGACTGGAGAGGCTGGCCGTGTTTCTAGCTTTGAAACATTTCCTCCCAGGCCTAAGAGATCGCTATGTGTTGGTGCGCACCGACAACACTGCAGTGGTCTCTATTATATGTGGGGGCAGACATCTTGTCGAGGCAGGGGCCGAGGCCCGGGGAATAGATGCCTCACCCCGATGGGTGAAGCAGACTTGGAGAGTCTTTGGCCAGGCTCAGGTGGACTTGTTTGCGACTCAGATGATATTGCACGGTCCCCTCTGGTTCTCTCTTTGACTCATCCAGCTCCACTGGAGCTCGATGCCATGGTACAGGCGTTGCAGAGGCTTCGTCTGTACACCTTTCCCCTGATTTTTCTGCTCCCGGGAGTTCTGGAGAGAGTGCGCTGGAACGAGGTCAGTCGACTGCCAGTAGCCCCATTCTGGCCGGGCCGAGTATGGTTCTCGGACCTGATTTCTCTCCTCGACGGCACTCCATGGGAGATTCCCGTCAGGAGAGATCTCCTCTCACAGGCAGAGGACGCACCCCCGACCGGAGCTGTGGAAGCTGTTGGTGTGGCCTCTGAGGAGGCACAACTCATAGCTTCCGGTCTCTCAACCGAGGTTGTTGAGACCATCCTCCATCCAGAGCTCCCTCTATGAGGAAACTGTACTTCTTGGTGCGGAGACCGCCAGCTCGACCCAGCTAACTGCCCATTTGGTACAGTTCTGGAGTTCCTGCAGGCCTGTTTATCTGCAGGGTTGACCCACTCCACCCTAGAGGTCTTCGTGGCAGCCATTGCGGCCTACCACACCCCTCTCGGTGGGAAGACACCCTTTTCTTACACGTTTCCTCCGCGGTGCACTGAGGCCGAGGCCTCCGGCCAGAGAAGCTTATGCTAAGTGGTGGATCAGGATGATATTCCATAGCCTCGAGTTCTCTGATCTCCCCTCTCCTTTGGGGGTCAAGGCTCACTCCTCCAGAAGTTGGCCTTTGGGACGGTGGGCCCCGCCTACTTTAGCCACTCCTGGCTCCCTTTTCTCTCACCTTAGTTGTGCTCTTCCACACTAGGCAGGGATTTGCAAGTCTGGCGGCGTGGGCATTCTCGCTCCCATAGCGTTTCGACGTAGCTCGAGTTCCTGAAGGGGAACGTCTCCAGGTTACGCATGTAACCATGGTTCCCCGAAGGGAACGAGACGCTGTGTCTCAGGGCCATACTTCCGGCATCCCTGCCAGTGCTTGCTTCACTCCTAGAAGCTGACGCTGTTTTCACCGCACGTGCTTTTATGCTTCCTGGTCGCTACATCACCCCGCACGGGATGTCTCGCCCATCCATTGGACTGATTACACATGTGATTCAGAGCATGGTCACGCTGGAAGCGTTCCCGTAGCGTTTCGACGCAGCGTCTCGTTCCCTTCGGGGAACCATGGTTACATGCGTAACATGGAGACGTTTTCGTGCACTATATATTAAGAGTTCTGAAGCCGTTCCATAGTTTAATGTGAAGTATAGATGAATATTTAAGTCAAGTTCACGTAAACTCTTCTCCCCGCTGCGTCTGTCTGTCATCCTCCATTCAGCATTCAAACTGCGTGTCGCGTTCGGTTACTACAGTCAAAAAGATTAAACTTTCTTCAAGAGAGCACAATAACTGAGATTTAAAACTGTTAAAAGAAAAGGCTCAATAAAATATTGCACAGATATAATACACTACGTAACAATATCTCTTAATTTTTTTATGCGCAGCGCTGCACGCTGTGACTCTGTGTTGCTTCAAGTGCATCATTCTG